AAACATTTTAAAATTGGACTCTCTCTCAGCCTGTAGATCAACCTTAACAACCAATTTAGGAGAAAAGATTGATTTGGAAGATCAAAGTAAATATTTGAAAGTGAATTTTTTTATTGACCATGGCAAAAGACAATTAATTTTATGTGTGAGTAAACATTTTAATCTTAGCCTGTAGACCTTGACAACTAATTTATGACAAAAAATAGATTTGGAAGATTAAAGTAAATATTTAAATTAAGTGAATTTTTTTTATTGACCATGGCAAAAGACAATTAATTTTATGTGTGAGTAAACATTTTTAATGGACTCCATCTTAGCCTGACTTAAATGCTAAAATAAGAGAAAATATTGATTTGGAAGATTAAAAGTAAATATTTAAATGTGAATTGTTTTAATTGACCATCATGGTAAATGACAATTTAAAGTGTATATGACATGAAATTTTTTTGGCTCATTATATATTATTATATAGTAAAACCTATCTTGTAAAAGATTTTTTGTGGAAAAAACCGTCTGAAATCACGCAACATTTAAAAAATGGACTCCCTCTTACCATATAAACCTTAATGAGTGAGTTAGGAGAAAATGATGTTTTTTAGATTTTTCATAATTCATATTAGATAACAATAATTATTACCAAAATAGTCAGTTTATCTTTCTTTCTTCTTCAATTTTTTAAGGACTAATTCATAATTCATTTTTTTAACAGGGAATGGGAGGAAGGGGTTGTAATGTTATTCGCTTGGTAACCGAAACCAGAAATCAGCTTACCCCCATTGTTCCATAAAAATGTCCCCTCCTATATATATCAAATTTATCTCTTCCACTCTCTTTCTTATGATAGTGCTGTGTGACTTGTTTTTTTTATGTGGACCCCCATCTAGAGTCTGATTGTTTTTAATGAATTCTCCTCAAATTACAATGCCTTCCTCTTCCCGATAAAAAATAAATAATGATCTTTAAGATACAATTTTCTAATTCATTTATAATTATACCCACCTCATATGGTGGTCCAGCATGGAATCTGAGAATTGCAAAGTCTTTAGAATCAGAACATGGGTCCTACAAACAAACAAACAAATTATTAAACAAATGAATATCACTATTTACTTTGTACTAAAAGTCTGTAAATTAATTCAAATTTGAAAATTAATTATCAACAGGCAATTGCAGGGATAGAGCACATTTTACTATATATTCATATCCATGATTGCGTCTTTTCATGCACAATTGCTAAGGAATATGACACATGGTCTGATATTGAAGAACATTACGCTCAAGCTGAAAAGGTCTGCAGAATTTTAGTCTGATTATGAGAAGCTCCGTACCAGATAGTATTCAGGTGCAACAGTCTTCTCTATAAGATCTGGATAGAATATCTGTGAATAAAGAAAGACAAAAGAAATGACATTTCATTATATTTCTGCAATGAACCAAAACATGCAGCCTTAACCCTTTTACTCCAGCTGGGGAAATAGCGCTCAGACTTCCCAACCCTAATATTTTTTTCATTCCCAAATGCACCACAGGGTTCCCAGTAAGCTCATTTCCACTGTTGTATCAGTATTAAAAAAACATCCAACCTAAATTATTTTTCTCATGCAACAGGAAACACACTTATTTTTTTGTTTGGCCTTATGGGTATGAGCAAGTGATGGAGGAAAGCCTCATTCTACAGGTTGGGAGTCAAAGACACTTACATTAAATTTGTATCCCTGTACAATCTTAGGTGGAGGGTTGTCACTGTCGTAATGTGTTTGGTTGTACTTGTTCCATTCATATCCCTAAAATCAAATTGTGATAATGAACATTTACTAGTTATATTATTATAGTGCACTGCGTATTATGCTATTGAACAGAAAATTAAAAAAACAAAAGATTCACAAAACTATAGACTACTTCAAGGATATGGGGGCCATATCAGGTTGCAATGCATCATGGTGCATCCAGAGGGGCAAATATAGAGCTATATGTCTCCTGCCATATTACAGCCAAAGATGGCACATTGTTTACATTTATTCAGGCAAGAAAGACAAACAAACAATTAACAAAACTCTACGTATTATCTGCCATCTTTGTTTTGTTTTGCCCCCTGGATAACCCATAATTATATTACTTGCGAATCAATAAAGCAACCATATCGTCAAAGCAGTCCATTGCATGATGGCATAACACAAATCTCTCTTAATACTTACAGTATGGACTCTGTTAAAGAATCTTGGTTTCCGAGGTCTGTATTTGTCTTCCCAGATGTACTTCTGCAAATATGTCATCATTATTCAATAATTATTCAATAAAATTAATATTGGTTAATAAATTTTAACCACTCTTTGATAAGGTGGTTTACAACCGATAATGAAATTAATCAGCTGATAAAAGCAAAAATCTGTCATTATCAGTGATATCACAGCCCAAATGTTTCAGTTTTCATATGCAATAGTGTTTAATTGTTTGATGTAAGTCAGAATATGATTTTGTAAATTAAATTAAGGGTGGTCTACACTGCTAAAGCTTCAACCTCTCACCAAGGCTAGGTTTGTGCTGTGACTGTGACAGGAGGCATGTTTGAATCCCCTCAATCAAGCTAGTATGTCAGTTGAGTTTGTTTGACATGTTGTTCTCTCCTAAGCTACGAGGGTTTCTGGTTTTAACTCCATCAGGAAAAGTCAACATGTGAGTTGAGTGCATAGTATTAACTTAAGTAAAGCAGTAATGTGTGTGAGTAAATACGTATCCACAATATATAACTAACTACTGAGGTATGATTTGCTTGTGATGCACAAAGGTTCCAATGTGGGGCTACGTGCATAATGTTCAGTGATTCATGGCAGGAAAAAGACAATAATTTATTAATATTATTATACATACCTTCTGCGACAGAGGCACAGGAATATTAAAGGTTTCCTCATCAGGACCCATGCCTTTTCTTTCCTCTTCTTGTTCCATTGCTGTAGGAAGACCTAATGTCTTCGTCTGATGGTAAAGACAATATAGCAGAATGCTTTGTCAGCTGAATCACTACTAAGCTTAAATTCAATAACTACTGTTATCTTTTGTGGCACATGGCACATGACATTCAGTGTTTGACCACACCTTTTTTTWATCTATCACTGGACCACTGGATGCAGGCATTATAATTATTTGAGGTTTTGTGACCAAGTGCACCATTGCAAGGCTATGTGCAGATAAAAGATATACTAGTCAAAAATGTATGCTCTTTTTTTATTTCACATGTTAAACATACTGTACAGTTGTACATCTTCCTGAGTAGCCTTGCTATGATGCACCTGGTCATGATATTTTAGGAATGGGTTATTTATATAGTTATTAGTGATTTAGAACAGTACACTAACCAGTAATGAAGAGCCATCTGACATTACTTCTTGTCTGAGCATCAGCTGAATAGAAGAAACATCATCAAATCAAATTAGTACAAACTGCAGTTAGTAATTATTTTGCTTCACTATCAAACCGACAACAATTTTTTTTTAATATTAAAAGTATTTTACATATTTTTCAAGGTTTAAATCTCAAATACATCTAAGTAGTATTAATAATTATAAATCCAACTACTAACAAAAAAATATTAAATAAAATGTAATAAAGTGAGAAATATTGTGCATTGTGATATCATGCATGGGACTTAATTATGAGTTCTTTTGCGACTTACCAGTTTTTCCCAGTCCTCCTCAGGATCAATAACCAGGTTCTAAATAAAGAAACATGTCATTGAATACCACATTACTGTATATATATACATTGTATGCAGTGGGGAAATAGTAGAAATAGTGGACATGGAGCCAATCTGCTTTGAAAAAAAAAAGATGTGGGAGATGGAACTAGAACTCATTAGGAAAGATCATTGCCTAGAATGACTGCATGAAAGCAATTTATTGGGATGGACACCAAAGGGTCAAAGGATTGGAGAGAGAAAAAATATGGCAAGAATGACTGCATGTCAGCAATTTATTGGGATGGACACCAAAGAGTCAAAGGATGGAAGAATGACCAAAGATGGCTTGAAGGACAGTTGAGGAAGGATGAGACAAAACTTCAGTCTGATGCACAAGCTAGCTATAGACTGCAGCTTTTACTAAGTGGTGGTTAAAAGTGGGTTGGACAAATAACGTAAAGGCCTTATGCACCTGCTGGGATGATGAGCGTTGATAATGAAGATGACATATGCAGTGAAAGGTTTTCACAGCCCAAAAATTATCTCTATCCAGAGTACTTACTTCATCAACATCTGTAATCTTGATGAGCTTAGGACTGTAATTCCCCGCTTCAAATGCTGCATAACTTTCTTCCAAAAGCTCTTCTTCAGTGAATAGAGAGCCACTAGCTTCTTCTCCAGCTTCATCTTCAGCTTCATCTTCAACAGCAGTTTCTTGTTCTTCAGGCTCATCTCTCCAACTGGTGCTTGTTGATGGTTCATCTTGTTTTCTTTGATCTTCTTTGGGTGGTTCTTCTTTCTCGGATTCTGATTCTGATTCTGAACTTGCAGTTGCTGAGCTGTTGCCCATTGTGGATTTCTTAAAAAAAAAACCAAATATGAATGAATGAATGAATGAACGAGCGGGCAGGCGGGCGGGCGGGCGAACAAATATTAATAATGGTTGAATGGATGAACTAAGGATAAATGGATCGATGGATGCATGGATGGATGGATGGATGCATGGATGGATAGATGAATGGATGCATGGAGGGATGGAGGGAGTGAGGGATCGATGGATGGGTGGATGAATAAGCTGATGAAGT